CTTATTAAACCACCTAACGTGAGACAAAGATCGTAGACATCTATGATTGTAAGCAATCAACTTTTTCATGTCTTCAACTCGTATTGGCCATGTTTCAGAGCCATAGAAAAAGACGGAACGAACTGACGAGCAGTACGCACGTCCCTTGGTTGATAACCGGAGATCTTCATGACGTCTTAGAAGTTCAAATGTAATCATTGAACTCTCATGTAGTCTTGCAGGTGTTTTAATTCTCGTCTTTTGATTTTCAGCAAGTTTTAAAACCTCCTGAATGACTTGAACAAAATTATTGCATATGCAAGTAGCTTCTGAGAATTCTGATTAAAATTTTTCAAAAGAATGATTACTGAACAAAGAATATTCTTTTCGATAACTTCGTCATCAGGCTCTGCAGTTATGTATACATAATAGTGAATGAATAAGTGTTATTAACAAAAATAATGCTTAAATAATATTGGGTAAATATTAATATCAATGGATTACGGTTCGATGGTATCAACATAACAATGCACACTGAATATCAGAAAAATTAGGAAAAGTGATAATAATACAAATACACTGACCGTCGTCGAGGAGGGCGGTCGATGGCTAGACATGCATTCTTAACACATGTCCCAACCATCTCACTTAATCGATGCAGCTACTTCACAACCTTGTTGACTGATTTCTCCTCCTTACCTAGCGCTAGACCGAAGCCTAATTTCAACGTTACTTACCTTATTATACCACTTGACATGGGAGAGAGAACACAGACACCTATAATCAAAGACAGCTAGATAGCCTTTTCATATCTTCTACTTCCAACGGCTATGTCTCACTGAGAGCCATAAAGGAGGATTGAGCGAAGTTCTACTGAACAGTACACACATCGTTTGGTTGACAGTCGGATATCACGCCTGCTAAACCAAAGATAGCGCATATCAAACGAGCCTTGTGTATTCGTGCTGAGATTTCGTAAGCAGCAATCAATCCGTTGCAGCTAATGCAAGTTACCGAATGAGTGAAGTGGTCAACACGCTCAGCCACCACTTCACTGCTGTCTGTTTTTAAGCCAGATGCCAATGTAGTCCAGTCCTGTAGCATCATCCTACATTTGACAGTAGGAGCGAATAGCATGCCAAACATTCGAGGAGTGCTGGTCGTCTAGGTGTTCAGAATACTGCTTTATTCTGTCAGCGTCTTCACCTAGAAGGACTATATAATCCAGATGCATAAGTCAACGATACTATTATACCCTGGTAACAAGTCAATCCCTGAATCGCTGAAGTCAGCAGTTAGGGTTAATTCCATTAGTACATCTATGATGAAATTAAACAGAAATGGACATAGCTAGTAGGTATCCCTGAAGGACACTACTGGTTTTCACCACTTCAGATGGCAACTCTCCTTAAGATCTCCCCTGGTTGCATGAGTTCGATTAGAGTGAGTGCCTTGATCATTGCGATAAATTTTTATTGGCATTCCCTTCATAGTCAAACATACCCCTGACTTTTAATCAGAACTCCAAGGAAATAATAATAATAATACATTCTTATCACAGCTTTAATGTTGCCGAATCTAATAATAATACGTTCATGATTAAATATTAAAGCTTGGAGAACTGAGTGATTGATTTTTCAATGAAGAACTTTCTACAAGACTGCGGTAGTTCAAGTTACTACACTTCATCAAACATACGTAAATAAAAATAGGAGAATCTTAAGAAACTATTGTTATTATTGTTTCCTTTAGTTCCTAGAAGAACATAAGGCTTCAGCCGCAAGTCTGCATTGTGTTCGGGTTCCTGCCAACGTTTTCACCTGGCTACACGTCTGCCCACATGCTGTCATATCCTCTTCACATGACCTCCTCCATGTCACCCTCGTACTGACGACAAACTCGCCGCTTCCCATTCGGGTTCCACTCGAGCAATATCCTGGCGTGTGATGTCACTTTATAGTTTGTTTTCCCAGAGTACGGCCAATCCACCTCCATTTGTTCCTGCATATTTGTTGCACGATTGCTTAGTCCTGGGTTGGTTCGCTCCCAGAGATCCCTGTTGCTGACCTTTTCTGACCATCTGATCTTGAGCGAAGACAACTATTGATGAAAGTGTGTAGCTTGTTCGAGATGCCCTTCGTGACGCGGTGTTAAGTCTCTGGTCTGTATAGTAGCACTGATTTCATGCATTAGAGTTGAAAATCTGGATCTTATTTTTCATACTGAATAATGCTGTTGATCTCCACATAGATTCGAGAGTAATGAAAGCTTGCCTTGCTTTCCCGATGATCCTCGCTTTGATGATATCCTCATCAGTTCCGTCTGCCTTTGGTTGAAGTGGCGATGCTTACCACGTACGTAAACAAACTAAAAGAAAAAGAAAGTGACAAAAGAAAGAGTACAGGTATATTGTACTAACCAAGGCACTCTATTCAAACTCACGTAGTCGTGTAAGGGCTTATGGAGAATTGTCATCTGAATTGATAACAACCAGTGATGTCCGCTTTCCCCATTCCTGTTTAACTTCATCATAGATATGCTAATGGAATTATCCTTAACTGAACGTGACGACTTAGGAATCGACTTGTTACCAGAGAATAGTCTTGTGGACTTAGAATATGCAGATGACAGTCCTATTAGGGGAGGGGGATGCTGACAAAATACAGCAGTCTTCTGAACACCTTGAGAAGCAATCTTCGTGTGTTTCGCATGCGGTTCGCCCCTGCAAAATGTAAGATGCTGCTACAGGACTGGACTACGTCAACTCCTAGCTTAGTAGTGATAGGGAGTGAAGTGATAGAACATATTGATCACTTCACCTATTTGGGAAGTTGTATAATCACCAACGGACTGACTGGCGACGAAATCTCACCAGGAATCCAAAAAGCTCGAGCTGCTTTCGCTGACTTACACCATCTCTGGGGTAGGTGTGACATCCGGCTATCAACTAAGGGACGTGCGTACTGCTCGTCAGTTCGTTCCGTCTTTTTCTATGGCTCTGAAACATGGCCAATACGAGTTGAAGACATGAAAAAGTTGATTGCTTACAATCATAGATGTCTACGATCTTTGTCTCACGTTAGGTGGTTTAATAAGGTAAGTAATGTTGACGTTAGGCGTAGAGTTTTGGGCAAAGAGGGAAAATCAATCAACGAGGCTATAAAGTTACATAGATTGAGATGGCTAGGTCAGGTGGTGCGCATGCCCAACCGCCGCCTCCCTTCTGTTTACGGGCATTACTAGCTGATATAGGTGCAGGTTGGAAAAGAGTAAGTGGTGGCCAAATAAAAACATGGATGTCATCAATCCATGAAATCCTTGACAGTTAAACTGAGTCAGGTATGGAGATGCAAACTTCCGGGTTGGGGCCCTCGGAACTCTAGGAATCAATGGCTGGAGACAATAGGTGACATGGCTCAAAATCATTGTCAATGGTGCACATGTATTCAGTCTCTGTAATCTTTCATATACCTTTCTACCATTATCCATTCTGTTTCGCTCTTATACTTGTCAGACTGTATTGATTCTCTTCATTCATCGTCTTGTCTACCTTTGTGTGCTACTTGGAATGTGGCAACTGGAACTGGTGCATTTCGGTGCCAAGTTCTGTGTTGAATCCAGACAGACTGACTGAACTGAATTTTTATGTTCTGCTAAGCTCACTACTACTCCTGATCTACTAGTTTGACTGACCTATGTAGTTGACTTAACTCACAGTCATTGCAAGGTATTGTGTAAGTTATATGATTATTTTTGAACAAAGAAACAAGAAACATTGACGCAGGATAGTCTGGATCCATTTTATTTCATCGGTTCTCATCATCAGCTGCGTACAACCTGCATTTTTTAATAAAAAATAAAGTGTACAATTTTAACAAGCTTTTTTTGTCCATTAGCAAGCATACTGTCAGAAAATTAGCAATAGTTGCGTAATTAGATAAGATAAGATCAAAATTTTAGAGTTTTACAATTTCGGTGCACATGAGATCAGATTGTCATCATCCGATGATGCAATACAGTGAGCGGAACTCAGAAGATCAAGAAAAATAATCTCTTAAGAGAGTCAAGCAAAAAATAAAGGAAGGAGGTTGAATGAAAAGATAAGCTAACAAAATTAACAAAATTATTGTTATTTTAATTTTAATAATTTTTCCCTTCACGTTCCCAGTGGAACATAGGGCTCCAATCTGGTGGCTTGAAGTTTTTGTAGCAGTGGTGTTTAATTTTACAGGATGCGGTTGCTAGTCTCATGCCCAACCTTTCCTCTTTACCAGTATTATTTCTGGCTTACCGAGGTAAAGGAGTGCGTCTGTGGATGGGATCGAACCCCGGATCATGTGTATGGCCGGTGAGCGTCTTAACCGCTATGCCACCGACGTACACGGAGTGAAAAGATAAGCTGACGAAATTAACAAAATTAGAAAATTATTATTATTATTACTATTATTATATTATATCTTATTGATAAAACTTATATTCATCATCAGGCTCTATATTTTATATACACATTATAGTAAATGAATGAATGAATTAGTATTATGAACGACATTAATGTCGTTGTTTAAATAACATCAAATCAATAATATTGATAGATTACAGCTGAATCGCATCAACATAAAATAAGTTGAATGTCAGAAGAATTAGGAACTTAATTTTTCGTACTCACTCGAGAACATCTAGCATGGCTAAGTAAAGGTGTAGTTGTGATGAAAGCAGGCTGCTAGCCAATTGGTAGACATTAATTTACGTGAATGTCTAGGCCACTAATAATTGGCCGTGAGAAAATATGAGGGCTCATAAAGGGAAAATATAGTTTTGTGCTATTGAGAACGACTTTTTGTGTATTCCGGACAGAAATATTTACACTTCCATTTGTAAATCCAATTAACAATGAAAGACTTCATGCATTGAGATATCTCATATTTTTAATTTGATCACCTCTCCAATAATAATAATAATAATAATATTTTCAACCTTTTTCTTTAGGTAATAATAATAACAACTGAACAAGAAGTGTGAAAATGTCATTGAATTATCTCAGAAAAATGATTTCTATGCTTACCATACTACTGCTAATTTTCACTTCAATGCCAAGAGTTTACATTCATTGTAAAAAGTAGGAAATCCTATCAGTGCATGTATGCATTATAATCAATCTTTTTTTTCATGTAGATATTTATTTTATGATGTATTCTATGGAGAAGGTTTCAATTTGAGACGTGATGTTTATATACGTGTTGCTAATACTTTACGGTAAGTAAGTGTATTACAGGATTTCATCATGAGCTGACATTAGTTAGAGAACCATTGGAAAACCTGGGAGTACTGGACAGCTGTTTCGTCCTGGTTTGGGACTCTTCAACAGTACTCACCCACCGGGATTCGAACCCAGGACCTTCCAGTTACAAGGCGAGTTCGTATACGATTAAGCCACTGGGACCCGTTACAATGGTCCTTGAATTCTGACTTCTGCCAATTCACGACATAGCGCGACCGCTAACCAATGTCTTCGGCGAGTATTTGTCCTAACTGCCGACCCGCTGCACCCTACTGGTCACAACTTCCCACTGGAACCCAGGTAACTACCTACTTGAATAGGGCCAGTCGCCAGTGTGCATCTCATTGGTATTCAAGTGTTGGTTTGTAGGGATTTGATTGGTTTCAGGATTTTATTTCATATGTCGTGAATTGGCAGAAGTTAGAATTCAAGGACCATTGGATCGGGTCCCAGTGGCTTAATCGTATACGAACTCGCCTTGTAACCGGAAGGTCCTGGGTTCGAATCCCCTGTGGTGGGTGCGTACTGCTGAAGAGTCCCAAACCAGGACGAGACAGCTGTCCAGTACTCCCAGGTTTTCCAATGGTTCTCTAACTAATGTCAGCTCGTGATGAAATCCTGAAACCAATCAAATCCCTACAAACCAACACTTGAATAAGTGTATTACACTTCAGATATACGTTGTGACGATGTTTTCTTGTCATTTCTTTGCATTCTGTTTGGAATGTAGAACTTCAAGATGCTAAGTTTTGTAGTTTCAGTAGTGGTGTTTATGTTATAGGGTAGGGTGGCTAACCTCTGCTGCTAGCTTTACCTCATTTTCTGGATTATCAATGGATAAGCAAGATTTATGGAGTGTGTCGACCGGGAATCGAACCCTGATCACTTGTAAGCATTCTACTATTGAACCACTAAGGCACTTTATGGACTAGTGGTAATAATTAATGAATGCATAGGATTAGACAACTGTAACGCAATTGATATCTCGCATATTGTGATAATCCAACAAACTGCAATGTCTGAAACGAATGTTCCTGAAGGTCCCTACCAAATCGTTGGGATAGAAGTTAGACTAAAAGCGGCCATCATCATTATCATGATCATGATCATCATCATCATAGTGTAAGTTATCTGCTCCATTTTGAACTTCTGAGAGCTACATCGTACTGTGCTAACAAATGGGTATGTGACAGGCAGTAAGCTGTTTTTATCGGACGAACAGTTATTCTGCGTTTCCACTCTGAAGATATGGAAAGGCTGTCTAGCTGTCTTTGATCATAGGTGTCTCCGTTCTATCTCCCGTGTGAAGTGGTATAATAAGGTGAGCAATATTGATGTTAGACGTCGAGTGCTAGGTAGGTGGGAGGGGAAATCAATCGACGAGGCTGTGAAGCTACATCGACTGAGATGGTTAGGACGTGTGTTACGTAGATAGGCCTAGTCATCGCCTTCCTCGATGAAGAGCAATGTTAGCTGATATAGGATCTGGCTGGAAAAGAGCAAGCTGGTGGTGGTCAAACCAAAACATGGCACCAGTCAATAAAATCCACGACAGTTAGTTTAAGCTAGTCACATAAGAATATGTAGACTGGCTTCCTGGTTGGTGTCCTTGGGACGGTGAACACCAATAGAGACTGGAGACAATTGGTGATATGTCTCAAAATCTTCGTTCTCAATGACTGGCGCAAATGCATCCATTCCTTGTTAGTTATAATTTCCAATAAAACTAAATTGTTCTTCTATTTTACTATTCTTTTTGCCTTATATCTCTGTTTACTGTCTATATTCTGCATTTCTTTTTTACTTTCTTCTCTTGCTTTGTGTGTTACAAGGAGGGAGTGTGTGGTGACTGGAACTGCTGCACATCTGTGTAAAGTTCTATGTTGAAACCAGTCAGTCAGTCTTTGAAAAGTTATGATTAGACGAGGTTTACCTTAAGAAGTGTACCTTTAGACATATACTACAGTGGTCTGTAGACGTCGTACCAACATAACTTGATTAACCAATCAAATCAGCCAGGTGTGATTGGATCCAAACAGTTGTTTGCTGGGCTTTATGGTCAAGTTGTTACACTCGTACACTTTCTGTTTCAAGAAGTTATGCGACTAAAAGTCATTGACAGACAGACAGGCGTATATCTGTGCTGATATAGGAATGAAAATAAAGATGTTGTGTCACCGATTCCATGAAGGCAGTCTCTAATTACTTTGCTTGTCTAAGTTGTGCGGATGAAACAATTAAGTTTTTATTTAAAAAATAAATTTGAATAAGGCAATAAGAAGACAAATTTAGCGAGATGATATCGTCATTCCGTAGTTTCTTTACAACCGCTTTACAACTAACATAGTTAACAATGATAAAATAAAGGTCATGAAAATTACTCAGTTAAATAAAAACGAAAGTACATACTAATGACCAATCATATTAAGATAGGTCACGTAGTCCAGGGTAGGCGAAGATTGAAGTCTATTGATTGCTTTGTACACACAGTTTAGGCTGTATGTGATTAATCCCCCAAAGTGCTTCCATCACCTTCAATAACCAGCCTTGAATTAGAGTTATGTGATGAAATTATTGTGAAACAGTCATTAATATCGATTGATTTTGTGACCGGACATTAATAAGTGGCTTGCAATAGATGATGATGCTGGATTTCTACTAAGATTAATCGCGTTGGGATTTTCTATATGATTTAGCAGTCATTTTGGAACATTTTTTTTCGACGACATTGGAACATTCTGTTGGTTCTACCTATATAGGTGTCACCGCAGCTACAGGTGAACTTGTAGATACAGTTTGAAGTAGAGTCCACAGAATTTCGTCCTTTAATCGTATGTAGGTACAAGGATAGAAAATGTTCGGCAAGTGAGAAAAAGAGATGTGGCGGCGTAGAATGTGCGTTTGATGGCTTACCCAAGTCTTTGAGCTAGCTGTCAACTGCATGATCTGGTCGCCCTTGAATGGTAGATTAATAAAGGTAGCTTTCTTTGGTACAGAAGCTGTCTTTCCGAGATGTGGATTTTCTTTACTGTGACAAGTGATAAAGTTTTCCGGATAATCATTAGTTAATAAAAGTGAATTTATATTAAAACAATTAGTCCCTTTGATAAATTTGAATAAGGCATTAAGAAGACAAATTTCGCAAGATGATATCATTTCGTAGTTTCTTTACAACCGCTTTACAACTAACATGGTTAACAATGATAAAATGAAGTTCATGAAAATTACTCAGTTAAATAAAAACAAAAGTATATGTCGAAACTCATCCATCAATTTTTCGAGCCCTTGAGAACAAACATTTCACCAGGGAACGTTTATACTGGATGCAAAAAAACTGGTAAGATGAAGATATTGTCCACCTTATGTCTGTTTATGAAAAATAGAGCGCTTAATCGTTCCATCATCTCTCTTAGTCGTAGTAATATCCAGGAAATCGGGTTTGTTATTCGATTCTAGTTAGGGAGTCACTCGAATATTTGGATGAATATGATTAAATAGAGTAATAAAGTTTTCAATACATTTGCTATTATTACCAATATTGAGAGTATCATTTACATAACGTTTATACAGCATAAATTCTCCAAGCATACCTTGCATTTGTTTCTCTCACGAAATTTGTCTTCTTAATGCCTTATTCAAATTTATCAAAGGGACTAATTGTTTTAATTAAAAAGAAAATTGGAATTAGTACTACCTCTAAATAGTGAAATTTATTAGTTGGTTAGGGTTAGGGTTAGTTAGTTAGAACTAACTAACAACAGAAGACACCCGCCGGCAACAGATCGTTTTATTACGGAAATCAGCACGTATTTACATATATACATATATATTTCATGTACATTATTATAACTTATTCAATCAGACAAACACAGTCTTCTGATTGGTTGTTTCTGGTTTCTCGGAAAGTTAAGCCATAAATATCTGCCAATCTTATTTACCCACGTTAAGTCTGCTATGATTGGTTGTTGAATCAGCCTTGTTCATATTTTTTCACGGCCAATATTAGTGACCTAGACATTGACGTAGATTAATGTCTACCAATTGGCTAGCAGCCTGCTCTCACCACAACATAACTGATGGTATTCAGTCTTTTTTGTATTAATGTTTTATGACTGCTGATTTTATTGTAATTTTTGTTGTTATTGTTGTTGTCCCCCCTCCTCTTAATTAATTAAATGACCAACTATAATTCATATCAGTCTGCTGAGACATCCAAATCAAATACCTGAATATGCCTTACATAATATGAATATAAAAAATTTAACTGGTGATGATTGGATACTTGTTTTACCGCCATGGGGTCCATTACCTCATTGGTTCAATGATAGACTCTATGATAAATATCCTAATTATAATGCCTTTAATTGGTCTGCAATTCAATGGTCAAAGTTTTTTGATTTAAAAAGTCTTTCAATGTTTATACCAGTTATGGATTTAATTGAATTTCAACAGAATAGTAAGTTGGGTTTTTTCATTTGATTTTGATTATTCTTATTTTTTGATTACAGCTTGATCCCACACTGTATTTTTGGTACAAGTATGGAATTTTCAGCATGCGATATCGGTATCCCAAATTTTGCAGGCCCACCATAGATATCAGGTGTGCGTTGGCAGGGAATCGAACCTTGGACCATGTGCATGGTCGGCGAGACTCCTAACCACTGTGCCACTGACACCTCATTTCATATTCAAGTATTGGTTTGTAGGGATTTGATTCGATTGACTGGTTACAGGATTTCATCATGAACTGACATCGGTTAGAGAACCATTGGCAAACCTGCAGGGAGTAGTAGACAGCTAACTGTTTCGTCCTAGTTTGGGACTCTTCATTGTTACGCACCCACGGGTTCTCTAACCAATATCAGTTTGTGAGGCATTCCTGTAACCAATCGATCAAATCCCTCCAAACCAACACTTGAATACCAATGAGATGCTCACTGGCGACTGGCCCCATTCAAGTAGGTAGTTACCTGGGTTCCAGTGGGAAGTCGTGACCAGTAGGGTGCAGCAGGTCGGGTGTGAGGACTACTCGCCGAAGACACTGGCTAGCCGTAGCGCTATGTCGTGCATTAGTAGAAGTTAGAATTCATGGCTTGACCATTGGATCGGGTCTAAGTAGTTGCTTAATGGTCTACGAGCTCGCTAGTCTTGTAATCAGAAGGTCCTGGGTTCGTATCCCGGTGATTGCATACTGATGAGGGGTCCCAAACTAGAGCGAAACAGCTAGCTGCCCACTACTCACTGGAGGTTTTCCAATGGTTATGTAACTGATGTCAGCTCATGATGAAATCCTGTATTTTCATTTCATAGTTTCTTGACGATTACTTTACAACTAGCATTTGAAAAAAAAATACTTTTTGCTCTCTTAATGAAACACATAGTGCTTTATTCTTCGACTGTGAAGTTTCATTAGCCGTGGGGAAGTTGTCAGCCTCGCACCTAACCTTCCCTCTTTATTGGGCTTACTACTGACTAGGCGAGGTTTAAGAGTTCTTCTCTCGGGGAGTTGAACTCTGCACCATCTGAGTGGTTGGCGCAAATGGTCCATGGTTGATAATAAGGTAATAAAATTAATGTCAGTATAGAGTTTGGGAATTGTGGTGGAATGTAATTTATTTTTAAATATCACACAGTGATGCAGTTATTACCACACAAATTGTCGCTTCCTACTCGGGTTCCACTTGATCGACCTGCTTGTAGAGTGTGTGATACACCATTCAACGCTCTCCTCAGCCTATATTCAATTTATCCATCTCTGTTTCTTTTTGAATAAGAATAGAAAATGACTAATCAATATGATTGTGTACAACGGAATATGTGGACATACATTGTCTGTATCACGCCACCACAAACTTACATAATAAAATGAAGCAAAATTATAGTGAGAATGCTACTCTATCCATGGTAGGGGGAGGGAATGAATGTACATGGTGCTTTTGAATTCATAAGTCCTGTATCAGATCCCGAATAGCCAATGATTCAGTTATGTACAGATGGTGTATTCAAAATCCTTTCGTATGATATTGAGGGACTTTGTGTAGTGGCACTGTGAAGCATTCATACAGGTGGGGATGCTCGATTTCTAGGGTCGACAAGATGTTCCAGTTACATAGATTGAGATGGCTAGGTCAGGTGGTGCGCATGCCCAACCGCCGCCTCCCTTCTGTTTACGGGCATTACTAGCTGATATAGGTGCAGGTTGGAAAAGAGTAAGTGGTGGCCAAATAAAAACATGGATGTCATCAATCCATGAAATCCTTGACAGTTAAACTGAGTCAGGTATGGAGATGCAAACTTCCGGGTTGGGGCCCTCGGAACTCTAGGAATCAATGGCTGGAGACAATAGGTGACATGGCTCAAAATCATTGTCAATGGTGCACATGTATTCAGTCTCTGTAATCTTTCATATACCTTTCTACCATTATCCATTCTGTTTCGCTCTTATACTTGTCAGACTGTATTGATTCTCTTCATTCATCGTCTTGTCTACCTTTGTGTGCTACTTGGAATGTGGCAACTGGAACTGGTGCATTTCGGTGCCAAGTTCTGTGTTGAATCCAGACAGACTGACTGAACTGAATTTTTATGTTTGCTAAGCTCACTACTACTACTCCTGATCTACTAGTTTGACTGACCTATGTAGTTGACTTAACTCACAGTCATTGCAAGGTATTGTGTAAGTTATATGATTATTTTTGAACAAAGAAACAAGAAACATTGACGCAGGATAGTCTGGATCCATTTTATTTCATCGGTTCTCATCATCAGCTGCGTACAACCTGCATTTTTTAATAAAAAATAAAGTGTACAATTTTAACAAGCTTTTTTTGTCCATTAGCAAGCATACTGTCAGAAAATTAGCAATAGTTGCGTAATTAGATAAGATAAGATCAAAATTTTAGAGTTTTACAATTTCGGTGCACATGAGATCAGATTGTCATCATCCGATGATGCAATACAGTGAGCGGAACTCAGAAGATCAAGAAAAATAATCTCTTAAGAGAGTCAAGCAAAAAATAAAGGAAGGAGGTTGAATGAAAAGATAAGCTAACAAAATTAACAAAATTATTGTTATTTTAATTTTAATAATTTTTCCCTTCACGTTCCCAGTGGAACATAGGGCTCCAATCTGGTGGCTTGAAGTTTTTGTAGCAGTGGTGTTTAATTTTACAGGATGCGGTTGCTAGTCTCATGCCCAACCTTTCCTCTTTACCAGTATTATTTCTGGCTTACCGAGGTAAAGGAGTGCGTCTGTGGATGGGATCGAACCCCGGATCATGTGTATGGCCGGTGAGCGTCTTAACCGCTATGCCACCGACGTACACGGAGTGAAAAGATAAGCTGACGAAATTAACAAAATTAGAAAATTATTATTATTATTACTATTTTTATATTATATCTTATTGATAAAACTTATATTCATCATCAGGCTCTATATTTTATATACACATTATAGTAAATGAATGAATGAATTAGTATTATGAACGACATTAATGTCGTTGTTTAAATAACATCAAATCAATAATATTGATAGATTACAGCTGAATCGCATCAACATAAAATAAGTTGAATGTCAGAAGAATTAGGAACTTAATTTTTCGTACTCACTCGAGAACATCTAGCATGGCTAAGTAAAGGTGTAGTTGTGATGAAAGCAGGCTGCTAGCCAATTGGTAGACATTAATTTACGTGAATGTCTAGGCCACTAATAATTGGCCGTGAGAAAATATGAGGGCTCATAAAGGGAAAATATAGTTTTGTGCTATTGAGAACGACTTTTTGTGTATTCCGGACAGAAATATTTACACTTCCATTTGTAAATCCAATTAACAATGAAAGACTTCATGCATTGAGATATCTCATATTTTTAATTTGATCACCTCTCCAATAATAATAATAATAATAATATTTTCAACCTTTTTCTTTAGGTAATAATAATAACAACTGAACAAGAAGTGTGAAAATGTCATTGAATTATCTCAGAAAAATGATTTCTATGCTTACCATACTACTGCTAATTTTCACTTCAATGCCAAGAGTTTACATTCATTGTAAAAAGTAGGAAATCCTATCAGTGCATGTATGCATTATAATCAATCTTTTTTTTCATGTAGATATTTATTTTATGATGTATTCTATGGAGAAGGTTTCAATTTGAGACGTGATGTTTATATACGTGTTGCTAATACTTTACGGTAAGTAAGTGTATTACAGGATTTCATCATGAGCTGACATTAGTTAGAGAACCATTGGAAAACCTGGGAGTACTGGACAGCTGTTTCGTCCTGGTTTGGGACTCTTCAACAGTACTCACCCACCGGGATTCGAACCCAGGACCTTCCAGTTACAAGGCGAGTTCGTATACGATTAAGCCACTGGGACCCGTTACAATGGTCCTTGAATTCTGACTTCTGCCAATTCACGACATAGCGCGACCGCTAACCAATGTCTTCGGCGAGTATTTGTCCTAACTGCCGACCCGCTGCACCCTACTGGTCACAACTTCCCACTGGAACCCAGGTAACTACCTACTTGAATAGGGCCAGTCGCCAGTGTGCATCTCATTGGTATTCAAGTGTTGGTTTGTAGGGATTTGATTGGTTTCAGGATTTTATTTCATATGTCGTGAATTGGCAGAAGTTAGAATTCAAGGACCATTGGATCGGGTCCCAGTGGCTTAATCGTATACGAACTCGCCTTGTAACCGGAAGGTCCTGGGTTCGAATCCCGGTGGGTGCGTACTGCTGAAGAGTCCCAAACCAGGACGAGACAGCTGTCCAGTACTCCCAGGTTTTCCAATGGTTCTCTAACTAATGTCAGCTCGTGATGAAATCCTGAAACCAATCAAATCCCTACAAACCAACACTTGAATAAGTGTATTACACTTCAGATATACGTTGTGACGATGTTTTCTTGTCATTTCTTTGCATTCTGTTTGGAATGTAGAACTTCAAGATGCTAAGTTTTGTAGTTTCAGTAGTGGTGTTTATGTTATAGGGTAGGGTGGCTAACCTCTGCTGCTAGCTTTACCTCATTTTCTGGATTATCAATGGATAAGCAAGATTTATGGAGTGTGTCGACCGGGAATCGAACCCTGATCACTTGTAAGCATTCTACTATTGAACCACTAAGGCACTTTATGGACTAGTGGTAATAATTAATGAATGCATAGGATTAGACAACTGTAACGCAATTGATATCTCGCATATTGTGATAATCCAACAAACTGCAATGTCTGAAACGAATGTTCCTGAAGGTCCCTACCAAATCGTTGGGATAGAAGTTAGACTAAAAGCGGCCATCATCATTATCATGATCATGATCATCATCATCATAGTGTAAGTTATCTGCTCCATTTTGAACTTCTGAGAGCTACATCGTACTGTGCTAACAAATGGGTATGTGACAGGCAGTAAGCTGTTTTTATCGGACGAACAGTTATTCTGCGTTTCCACTCTGAAGATATGGAAAGGCTGTCTAGCTGTCTTTGATCATAGGTGTCTCCGTTCTATCTCCCGTGTGAAGTGGTATAATAAGGTGAGCAATATTGATGTTAGACGTCGAGTGCTAGGTAGGTGGGAGGGGAAATCAATCGACGAGGCTGTGAAGCTACATCGACTGAGATGGTTAGGACGTGTGTTACGTAGATAGGCCTAGTCATCGCCTTCCTCGATGAAGAGCAATGTTAGCTGATATAGGATCTGGCTGGAAAAGAGCAAGCTGGTGGTGGTCAAACCAAAACATGGCACCAGTCAATAAAATCCACGACAGTTAGTTTAAGCTAGTCACATAAGAATATGTAGACTGGCTTCCTGGTTGGTGTCCTTGGGACGGTGAACACCAATAGAGACTGGAGACAATTGGTGATATGTCTCAAAATCTTCGTTCTCAATGACTGGCGCAAATGCATCCATTCCTTGTTAGTTATAATTTCCAATAAAACTAAATTGTTCTTCTATTTTACTATTCTTTTTGCCTTATATCTCTGTTTACTGTCTATATTCTGCATTTCTTTTTTACTTTCTTCTCTTGCTTTGTGTGTTACAAGGAGGGAGTGTGTGGTGACTGGAACTGCTGCACATCTGTGTAAAGTTCTATGTTGAAACCAGTCAGTCAGTCTTTGAAAAGTTATGATTAGACGAGGTTTACCTTAAGAAGTGTACCTTTAGACATATACTACAGTGGTCTGTAGACGTCGTACCAACATAACTTGATTAACCAATCAAATCAGCCAGGTGTGATTGGATCCAAACAGTTGTTTGCTGGGCTTTATGGTCAAGTTGTTACACTCGTACACTTTCTGTTTCAAGAAGTTATGCGACTAAAAGTCATTGACAGACAGACAGGCGTATATCTGTGCTGATATAGGAATGAAAATAAAGATGTTGTGTCACCGATTCCATGAAGGCAGTCTCTAATTACTTTGCTTGTCTAAGTTGTGCGGATGAAACAATTAAGTTTTTATTTAAAAAATAAATTTGAATAAGGCAATAAGAAGACAAATTTAGCGAGATGATATCGTCATTCCGTAGTTTCTTTACAACCGCTTTACAACTAACATAGTTAACAATGATAAAATAAAGGTCATGAAAATTACTCAGTTAAATAAAAACGAAAGTACATACTAATGACCAATCATATTAAGATAGGTCACGTAGTCCAGGGTAGGCGAAGATTGAAGTCTATTGATTGCTTTGTACACACAGTTTAGGCTGTATGTGATTAATCCCCCAAAGTGCTTCCATCACCTTCAATAACCAGCCTTGAATTAGAGTTATGTGATGAAATTATTGTGAAACAGTCATTAATATCGATTGATTTTGTGACCGGACATTAATAAGTGGCTTGCAATAGATGATGATGCTGGATTTCTACTAAGATTAATCGCGTTGGGATTTTCTATATGATTTAGCAGTCATTTTGGAACATTTTTTTTCGACGACATTGGAACATTCTGTTGGTTCTACCTATATAGGTGTCACCGCAGCTACAGGTGAACTTGTAGATACAGTTTGAAGTAGAGTCCACAGAATTTCGTCCTTTAATCGTATGTAGGTACAAGGATAGAAAATGTTCGGCAAGTGAGAAAAAGAGATGTGGCGGCGTAGAATGTGCGTTTGATGGCTTACCCAAGTCTTTGAGCTAGCTGTCAACTGCATGATCTGGTCGCCCTTGAATGGTAGATTAATAAAGGTAGCTTTCTTTGGTACAGAAGCTGTCTTTCCGAGATGTGGATTTTCTTTACTGTGACAAGTGATAAAGTTTTCCGGATAATCATTAGTTAATAAAAGTGAATTTATATTAAAACAATTAGTCCCTTTGATAAATTTGAATAAGGCATTAAGAAGACAAATTTCGCAAGATGATATCATTTCGTAGTTTCTTTACAACCGCTTTACAACTAACATGGTTAACAATGATAAAATGAAGTTCATGAAAATTACTCAGTTAAATAAAAACAAAAGTATATGTCGAAACTCATCCATCAATTTTTCGAGCCCTTGAGAACAAACATTTCACCAGGGAACGTTTATACTGGATGCAAAAAAACTGGTAAGATGAAGATATTGTCCACCTTATGTCTGTTTATGAAAAATAGAGCGCTTAATCGTTCCATCATCTCTCTTAGTCGTAGTAATATCCAGGAAATCGGGTTTGTTATTCGATTCTAGTTAGGGAGTCACTCGAATATTTGGATGAATATGATTAAATAGAGTAATAAAGTTTTCAATACATTTGCTATTATTACCAATATTGAGAGTATCATTTACATAACGTTTATACAGCATAAATTCTCCAAGCATACCTTGCATTTGTTTCTCTCACGAAATTTGTCTTCTTAATGCCTTATTCAAATTTATCAAAGGGACTAATTGTTTTAATTAAAAAGAAAATTGGAATTAGTACTACCTCTAAATAGTGAAATTTATTAGTTGGTTAGGGTTAGGGTTAGTTAGTTAGAACTAACTAACAACAGAAGACACCCGCCGGCAACAGATCGTTTTATTACGGAAATCAGCACGTATTTACATATATACATATATATTTCATGTACATTATTATAACTTATTCAATCAGACAAACACAGTCTTCTGATTGGTTGTTTCTGGTTTCTCGGAAAGTTAAGCCATAAATATCTGCCAATCTTATTTACCCACGTTAAGTCTGCTATGATTGGTTGTTGAATCAGCCTTGTTCATATTTTTTCACGGCCAATATTAGTGACCTAGACATTGACGTAGATTAATGTCTACCAATTGGCTAGCAGCCTGCTCTCACCACAACATAACTGATGGTATTCAGTCTTTTTTGTATTAATGTTTTATGACTGCTGATTTTATTGTAATTTTTGTTGTTATTGTTGTTGTCCCCCCTCCTCTTAATTAATTAAATGACCAACTATAATTCATATCAGTCTGCTGAGACATCCAAATCAAATACCTGAATATGCCTTACATAATATGAATATAAAAAATTTAACTGGTGATGATTGGATACTTGTTTTACCGCCATGGGGTCCATTACCTCATTGGTTCAATGATAGACTCTATGATAAATATCCTAATTATAATGCCTTTAATTGGTCTGCAATTCAATGGTCAAAGTTTTTTGATTTAAAAAGTCTTTCAATGTTTATACCAGTTATGGATTTAATTGAATTTCAACAGAATAGTAAGTTGGGTTTTTTCATTTGATTTTGATTATTCTTATTTTTTGATTACAGCTTGATCCCACACTGTATTTTTGGTACAAGTATGGAATTTTCAGCATGCGATATCGGTATCCCAAATTTTGCAGGCCCACCATAGATATCAGGTGTGCGTTGGCAGGGAATCGAACCTTGGACCATGTGCATGGTCGGCGAGACTCCTAACCACTGTGCCACTGACACCTCATTTCATATTCAAGTATTGGTTTGTAGGGATTTGATTCGATTGACTGGTTACAGGATTTCATCATGAACTGACATCGGTTAGAGAACCATTGGCAAACCTGCAGGGAGTAGTAGACAGCTAACTGTTTCGTCCTAGTTTGGGACTCTTCATTGTTACGCACCCACGGGTTCTCTAACCAATATCAGTTTGTGAGGCATTCCTGTAACCAATCGATCAAATCCCTCCAAACCAACACTTGAATACCAATGAGATGCTCACTGGCGACTGGCCCCATTCAAGTAGGTAGTTACCTGGGTTCCAGTGGGAAGTCGTGACCAGTAGGGTGCAGCAGGTCGGGTGTGAGGACTACTCGCCGAAGACACTGGCTAGCCGTAGCGCTATGTCGTGCATTAGTAGAAGTTAGAATTCATGGCTTGACCATTGGATCGGGTCTAAGTAGTTGCTTAATGGTCTACGAGCTCGCTAGTCTTGTAATCAGAAGGTCCTGGGTTCGTATCCCGGTGATTGCATACTGATGAGGGGTCCCAAACTAGAGCGAAACAGCTAGCTGCCCACTACTCACTGGAGGTTTTCCAATGGTTATGTAACTGATGTCAGCTCATGATGAAATCCTGTATTTTCATTTCATAGTTTCTTGACGATTACTTTACAACTAGCATTTGAAAAAAAAATACTTTTTGCTCTCTTAATGAAACACATAGTGCTTTATTCTTCGACTGTGAAGTTTCATTAGCCGTGGGGAAGTTGTCAGCCTCGCACCTAACCTTCCCTCTTTATTGGGCTTACTACTGACTAGGCGAGGTTTAAGAGTTCTTCTCTCGGGGAGTTGAACTCTGCACCATCTGAGTGGTTGGCGCAAATGGTCCATGGTTGATAATAAGGTAATAAAATTAATGTCAGTATAGAGTTTGGGAATTGTGGTGGAATGTAATTTATTTTTAAATATCACACAGTGATGCAGTTATTACCACACAAATTGTCGCTTCCTACTCGGGTTCCACTTGATCGACCTGCTTGTAGAGTGTGTGATACACCATTCAACGCTCTCCTCAGCCTATATTCAATTTATCCATCTCTGTTTCTTTTTGAATAAGAATAGAAAATGACTAATCAATATGATTGTGTACAACGGAATATGTGGACATACATTGTCTGTATCACGCCACCACAAACTTACATAATAAAATGAAGCAAAATTATAGTGAGAATGCTACTCTATCCATGGTAGGGGGAGGGAATGAATGTACATGGTGCTTTTGAATTCATAAGTCCTGTATCAGATCCCGAATAGCCAATGATTCAGTTATGTACAGATGGTGTATTCAAAATCCTTTCGTATGATATTGAGGGACTTTGTGTAGTGGCACTGTGAAGCATTCATACAGGTGGGGATGCTCGATTTCTAGGGTCGACAAGATGTTCCAGAATAGAGAGAGAGAGCTGCTAGTATTCTTCTTTTGCTCTTCTGACTGGCTAACCAAACTGGACAGTGTTCCAGATTACGTTTGTAGACTTGACGTTGCATACGGCCGGATATACTTTGCTCCAGGCGAACAAGTAAAGTTTGAATGAAGGTTTCTTTTCAGTCTCATGACTTTTTTTTCATTCTTCTCTCAACACAGTTATTGTATCATACTTATAAAGGTGATAAAGAATAGGGGTCTTACATCTGAAATTATCGAGAGCGATAAAACGGACTTACACTGCCGCCACCCTTTGTTTTTCATTTTCCAGCCGGCCAATTATGATTGCTCAAGCGAAAGACAAGCTACCTAGCTGTGTTACTTCTATGTGTATCGATAAATTTAGTTGCTCCTGTGGAGAGAGCTGGCTGTATAGGGTGAACAATTAGACAGCTTAACAAACGTATTAATGCGCATCTTCCTTCATGGTTCGGAAAAAGTCAAATAAAATCCATACGAAGTTCTATTTTGGCTCATTTGATTGACGATAGTGGTCGCTAAGTGGAAACAAATAGTGCCTTCAAAGGTATCTATCGCATTCCATCGAGTCTTTCGAACGGAATCAGAACCCGTCTTTTACACTTAGCCGAAGCTATGGGAATTCGAGAGAGAGAGAGAACAATCCTAGTGTCTTTCCATAAAAAAAGTTTGTTCTACCCTTGTCTCTCCCTTGGCCTAGGTGAATTCTATTCAAAACCCTCCCACCCTTTCTTATTTTCCATCTCCTTCGTATTTTTATGATATTTATTCAAACTCTAATTATCTGTCCACTTCACCTACAGTTAGTATTACGTAACTTTTAAGATTTGACCTCATTTATTTATTAATTTATTGAATTGCATTCATCAACCTGAAACCAATCTGGAAATCTTCGTCACTCAGCCAGCATCAACAACAAAATTCGGTCGGATTTACAATACAAACCTCAAGTCAGTCAGTTCTTCTATACGAATCAGAAACTTGGTGGGTCACAAAGAATATTTCTAACAGGTTACAGACCTTTATCAACAACTGTCTTCGCTCTATACTGAATGAAGATCAGATGGCCGGGCCGGAAAGAATCATCAACAAGGAACTATGGGAACAAACAAACAAAACAAGAACCAATCGCCAACCAACAAATATACAGGAGAAAGTGGAGATGGATCGGACACTCGCTGAGGAGGCCGGTTGGTGACATCGCGCGCGCGTCAGGCCATTGCTCGAGTGGAACCAGGCCGAAAGGGAAGTGGCGAGTCTGACGTCAGTGCAAGGGTGACATGGAGATCGTGTGAAGAGGAGTTGAAAGAGTATGGACTAACATGGATGCAGGTGAAAAGTACAGCAGAAGGAAGACAGAAGTGGCAAGTGGAGACGTGCGCTTGAAGCCCTATGTTCCACTAGGAACCCAAGGGAACAATAATAATTATAATTTATTGAATTGTCTATTTTTACACATATTACTACCTTTGTTATTCTTATCGCCACCTGCGTAAACCTTATTATCAATATTTTGTTTTCATTATAATCATCGTTATTAACTACGTTCAAAACATTCACCACATTATTATTATTATTATTATGATTATATGATCCATAAAATCACCGTCATGGGTTAAAAAATTTTATATATAAAACTATGTCAATTAGAGTAAAGCCTGAAGAAGATCTAATTGAAAACAACGATATTGTTGGCTTATATGTCTTGTTCTAAAGAGTAAGATATCAATTTCTATATAGGTGATGTAGGCTTATGTGTTACAAAAGTTCTTATAACCTGATTGAATCATTAGGCTATCTGGATTTCCATTCACTGCATAAATGTATAAAATGTCAGCGTTTTAACTATTCAATTTTGACATATTGAAAGTCAAAATAACATTGAAGGTCACTCAAACCAAATATCAAAGGCAATAGTATATCTGTTATTATATCAAAACAAAGTTTACTAACTTGATCATCGTTCGTCAGTCTGGGTTGTTTTTTGTTGTCAAGTAGGCGAATTGGTAAAGATAACAAAATCAAGTGTAGATTGTTGGATTTTATCAGTGTGTAGAATTATGAAAGTAGTGTGTGTTTACATAGTTTATCACATTTTTGTTGATTTTGCCACTTCATGGGGGAGGGGCGTGTTGTAGCCAGGTCAGATTCTGTTTTAGTCCATCATTCCTATTCAGGCAATTCGGATTCCACTTGATATGAAGAGCTTCTGATATTACACGTTCTTTGTGGTTTCTGAAGTTTTTCAGGATTATTTCAATATTGTCAAAATCAATTTTGTGGCCTGATTCTATAGCATATAGACCTATGGTTGATGATTTTTCAAGTTTTTCTAGTTCAATTGGATTTCTTGGTGGTCGAAGAGATGCTCTACGGTGTTCATTTCTTCTGATTTTGATTTCTCGAGATGTTTATCCGATGTAGATCGCATCACATTCCGAGCATTTTATTTTATAGACACAATTAGATAGAGAATCTTTAGGGATATCATATACCCAATGCCCAAATTTTTTCAAACCGTTAAAAGTGAACTTGGTTTGGACATATATAAAGGAAAAATATCCTCCTTGGAACGAACAGTATTGTATCGTCTCATGATGTACTTTAGATTGTGAGTTTTCTTTTTTGAAGATCCTGGATAAAGAGAAAATATTATGCTACAATAAACTATGCTGTAAATTCTGTGACTTGTTTGAATTTTTCTTGCAAAATAATGACATTTTATATCCTTTATGTTCCCCGTGGTGGAACATAGAGCGCCTTCAAGCTAGGGGCTTGAAGATTCGCTAGCAGTGGTGCTTATTACTTTTAACAGGATGGGGTTGCTAGTCAGTCTAATGTCCAACCAACCTTCCCTGTTTACCAGTCTTCTTACTGGCTCATTGAAGTAGAGGAGGAATGTGTCCGTGGCGAGGGATCGAACCCCGACACACACATGCAGTGTGGTTGGCGAGCATTTCACCGCTGTGCCTCCGCCGCATAAATATATATACCCGAAGGTAAATCGATTCCTAATTTGAACGAATCCTAGTTCCAATTTAGATGGATTCATTTAGCATGACATATTTCATGCTGTATAGCCTGAATTTGTTTGTTTTACTGTATACATGAGTGTATCAGCCGTTCAGCGGTAGAATATATTCGCCAACCAGACAAGTAGTCAGGATTTGATTCCCGGTGGATTCACTACTCACCTCCGATTAGTCGGTAGTAAGTAAGCCCCCCAGCTAGAGGAGGGAAGGTAAAACAAAAAACTCACCGCTACTGAGACTAAAAAGCTCAAGCTTCAGGGACTATGTTCCAGTCAGAACGCAATGAGATAAAGACAACTGTACATATGTGAGAATGGAGTCTGGCGACTTGAACTGCCGTACATCGGTGCAAAGTTCTATGTCGAAGACAGACAGACAGAAATGCGTGAGATTTTCAGTTTATTATTATTATCATCATCATCACTAAAACACAAACTTGCAACATTATGGGCACCGAGAAACGCATTACACAAAACGTTAAACTTTATGCTAAGTGTGGGATACTTACTGTTTGGAAGCCCAAACCAAGGAAGGTGGTTGTCTTGATGGGTCACCTGTTAAGTCTTTGTCTTGAATTCTGATCTACAAGGCAGTGCAATAGCGTTCCCACGGTTTCTGGTGCCCAAGACAGGTTCATACACCACTCTATCCTTTCGGATTCTGGAAGCCATATACACCATTCTATGTTATTACTCCTTTACGTTCCCAGTGGTGGAGCATAGGATTTCAATCTAGTCGCAGTGGTACTTATTTTTACAGGATGGGGTTGCTAGCCTCATATCTAACTAACCTTGCTTCTTTACCAGTCTTCTTACTGGCTTAGCGAGGCAAGAGAGCAGTGCGTTTGTGGTTGGGGATAGAATCCTGAACCATATTCGACGTGGTTGGCGAGCATTCTACCATTGTACCACCGACACCACCATGTACACCACAGGTTTGGAATAACCAGGGTTTTTGTCTTCAGCTTTCTTAGGTAGACTACTAAACTCGTCAGTCCGGTTGTACACCCCAGGCGTTTGCATTCACCCGTTTACTTTTACGAGGAACATCTCCATCGCGTGAAGGCAGTGAATAGGTTTCAACTAGAGGAAGTTATGAACATGTGGCTATATGATGAAAGCATGTCAAGGGAATGGTGGTTGTGTCTAATTTATTGATTTTTGTCTGTGATGTTTTGTTTTACGAAGAATTCATGAAGGGAACCTTGAGCTAAGTGTTTGTTTCTTTTATTCTTGTCTTTCTTGTCTAGTTGTAAATTCAATGACATTGAAGAATTTGTCTAATCCTTCATCGTTGAAAATTGACTTGGCTCTTCAGTTAGTAAGGGAAACATATGATACAATAAAACAAAACTCAAATAATCAACGTAATGTTGTTGACTATTGTCCAAATGAAATACGTGAATTGTATTTATCAGATGTAAGTGAATATGCTTTTAGTATTTTATTGAATTTTATTTTTATTCAAATGTGAGTTTGCAAAGATTTGATTGATTGGTTGCAAGAATTCAATATGAACTGCTGACATCAGTTAGAGTGAGTGCGAAAGAGAGAACCATTGGAAAGTCATCAAGGACAACCGGACAGCCAGCTGTGTTTCATCCGCCTAGTTTGCCATTCTTCGACAGAATGCGACCACCACCACCCGCTTGGGTTCGAACCCAGAGCCTCCCGATTACAAGGTGAGCTCGTGGACAATTCATCAGCTACTGCGAAGCGATCTAATAATGGTGTCAGTCCTTGAATTCCAAGGCGAAGTTAAGCTTTATGCACCACTAACTACCAATCAACGAACGACATTTAACGAACCAATCACGTGAAAGAGGCATTATTGGTTATGGAAAACATGTATTTGTGGAAAAAATGCATGAAAATGTTTCATAGCATACTTTTCTCTGATATGTGGTAAAAACATCTCCAACTCGAGCATACCGGTATCACAATTGGAGTGTTACACCACATTCTATACACATGTTCATCTAAATAACTGTAAATGACATCCTTTTGAGATCCATAAGGGGTCTTAATCCTGTTTTTAATCTTCCTCAAAAGCCTTCTATAGAACTGATGTCTGTACCTGTAATGGCATCCCCAAAATCATTAGAATGTTTCTCTCTGTGTTGAATATATCCAATTGATGACAGGTAGGTATGACCTCCCCACTCATCCACGTGTAGGGCTGTGGTGAGAGCAGGCTGCTAGCCAATTGTTAGACATTAATCTACGTTAAGGTCTAGGTCACTAATATTGGCCGTGAGAAAATATGAACAAGGCTGATTCAACAACCAATCACAGCAAACTTAACTTGGGCAAATACGATTCGCAGATAGATGGCTCTACTTTTCGATGTTTCCCGAAACAACCAATCAGAAGCCTGCGTTTGTCTGATTAACTTCTGAGAAGCAACCAATCAGAAGACTGCGTTTGTGTACTTGAATAAGCTATAATAATGTATGTGAAATATATATAAATACATGTTGATTTCCGTAATAAAACGATCTGTTACCGGCCGGTGTCTTCTGTTGTTACAGGGTGACATCTTCTCCTCGTCGTCGTCGTCCTAATAACGAAGTTGTTCTCTCCATTTTCCATGACGCGATATCTTTGCAGTACTGGTGCCACTAAGTTATTAACAGGAGACTATTTTCTCTGTTTCAGCAGCTATATCTGTCACAGGCTGTTTTAAAACCCAGTAACTACGAATATTACAAAATATGGGTTAAGGACAAGTGTGAATCATCAACTTACCTACCCTGATATTTGACTTGAATCAAGCGGAACACAGAACCTTCAACTGGCGTGGATGAAACTCATTGGGCTATTCAAGATCATTCGCTGATTGATTGGTGGTTAGTGGTGCTTAAAGTTTAACTTGGTCAATCGCAACTTCTGCCAATTTAAGATATATAGTGCGACTGGCGCTAGCCAATGTCATTTCTGGTGGGGAGTATTTTTCCTTCCCCTTTTCGATAATTTCCTCCTCTTCTGGCTCTACAGTCATATACATAGATATGTTTATATACATAGAAGATTCTAGATTAGTAGTCAATAACAATATTAGTGTTTCTTGTCGAAATAATATCGATTTGTTCAGTAGGATCTCAATGGAATTACAGTTCATTAAAGATGCTTAAATAATAATAAGAATAAAGATATAATGGCGAATAGAATATCAACTAAAATTAGGAAAATTCCACAAAAATTCAGGATCATTCAAACCTAGATGGCCAAGCGGTAAGGATAATGTCTGAACTAACTTCTTTTGGATCCATAAATTAGGCCTGTTAATATGGATCCCCGCAGCCTGAGCGATATTTAGTAATCGAGCTCTTAAGGCAAAATTAAGATTCGTAGGTATGCGGTAAATGACCCTGTAAGTCTGGTTAACGTCAATCTTGTGTTCTGTATCCACAAGATGAGACAGCGCTCCGAATAGATTTTGTTTCTCCTTTACTTAACCACTGGTGCAGGGTGATGTTCGGAAATCTGACGACAAACACGCCTAATTGTACGGCTTATGGAACTAACTGGTTTACTCCACAGAAGCAGTTTAATTGGTAAATACACATGAAAGAGACGAAATTAGGCAGTTTATCTTTTACTCCCGAACACGAACATGAATATTCCTTCAAGGTTGTAGATACACCTTGCTGGCTGATGAATGCCAACTACCACGAGATCTAGGTCTAAGTCTTCTCACCGATTGCCTCCAACCATCTAATAATATCAACAATTCACAGTGCAGTGTGATGGTGGACGAGCCATCTAATGGTATGGTGGCCACATTCCAAACTTGACTGACTGATAGAATTCAGTCTGCACCAAGCTGAGGATCAGACACATTACACTAGTTACTGATTAGTGTGCAATCAAAAAAAAAAACAAAATGGAAAGATTTTTCGACAACGTTTGAAGACAGTAATGATGTTATTTTGATCAATGATAATGATGATGATGACCTTAACAGTGACATCTAGGTTATGGGTTTCATCATGTTTTGGATCTGTGAGTTGAGTGTATGTGTATTGTCAGCTGGAGGTATTGTGTAATACTACTGGGATTTGAACCTAATGTTTCAAACGCGAAATATCATTAAAATCTTGTCTTAAGAACAATTTCAATTGATGCATCAGTTCAAGAGAATTACAATGAAATCAAACAGACAATCTGAACCTCCGTACATAACTGACTCAAACGAAAATTCAAAGACTGAGTAGATTAAAGGCATATTTTGATTCTTGATTATGCCTCCCCCTCTCCTCACCCCTCCATAACTGTTTTCCAACCTACTCACATAACTGTCAATATTGCTTGTTAAGATAGACCATGGCTCCGCATGCGTATCACCTGACTTAGAGATCTCAATCGATGAAGATGGTAAAGCTAGCCAGTCAGAATCGGAAAGGCAAGATACACCTGAAATCAAGTTTTGGTTTGTAGGGATTTGGTTGATTGGTTACAGGATTTTATCATGAGTTGACATTGGTTAGAGAACCATTGGAAAACTTGAGAGTACTAGACAGCTGTTTCGTCAATCTTGTTTGGAGCTCTTTATCAGTACGCACCCACCAGGGTTAGAACCCAGGAACCTCTGGTTACAAGGCGGTGAGCTCGTAGACTATTAATCAGTCACTGAAACCCAATCCAATGGTAGAAATTAGAATTCATGGGTTGGCTATCGGATCGGGTCCCAGTGGTGTTGCTTAATGGTCTATGAGCTCGCCGCCTTGTAACCAGAGGGTCCTGGGTTTGAGTCCCGGTGGGTGCATGTACTACTGAAGAGTCCCAAACTAGACTGACAAAACAGCTGTCCACTTCTCTCTCTGGTTCTCCAATGATTCTCTAACCAATGTCGGCTCATGATGAAATCCTGTAACCAACCTGAAATCAGTTTAGAAATCTTCTGGACTCTATACACTCAGCTAGTATAAAGAACAAGAGTCGGATTTTCAACATACAGGTGAAACCAGTCAGTCAGCTCTTGTTATACAAGTCAGAAAACTTACAATTGCGCTTCACGAATTAGATTTCTAACAAGTTACAGACTTTAATCAACAGCTGCTCACTTCACTGGCCAGAAAGAATTAGGAAAAAGATACCAATCAAAATCGGATTGTTCAACAAATATGCAGAATAAAGTGGACATGCATTCGACATATTCTGAAGAGGTCGTCGTATGAAATTGCGCTCAATTCAGGCTCAATCTCTCGAGTGGAATTCAAGTGGGAAGCGACGAGTGGGTCGTTGTATTGAAAGGGTGACATAGATCTGTCTGTCTGTCTGTTTTCGACATAGAACTTTGCACAAATGTGCGGAAGTTCAAGTCGCCACACTCCCTCCATGTAGCACACAAAGCAAGAGAAGAAAGTACAAGAAAAGCATAATAGAGACAGTGAGCAGAGGTGTGAGACAAAGGAGTAATAAAGAAAAACAAAACAGTTTCATTGGAGATCATAAGTCACAAGGAGTGGATGCATCTGCGCCAACCAGCCATTGAGAACGATTTTGAGCCATGTCACCAATTGTTTCCAACCATAGAGTTTTACCGTCCAGAGGACCCCAACCAGTCAGGTAGTCTACACCTTTCTACGTGGCTTAGACCAACTGTTGTGGATTTCATTGACTGTTGTGGCCAAGTTTTTGTTTGACCTCCGCTAGCTTTTTTCCAGCCTGACCCTATATCCGCTACCATTGCTCGTCGAGGGAGGCGATGACTTCGCATACGTAACACATGTCCTAACCATCTCAGTCATTGTAACTTCACAACTTTGTCGATTGATTTCCCCTGTTTGCCTAGAACTCTACGCCTAACCTCAATATTACTGACCTTATTATGCCACTTTACACGGGAAATAGAGCGCAGGCACCTATGATCAAAGACAGCCAGCTAGTCTTTTCATGTCTTCCACTCTCAGTGGCCAGGTCTCACCAACAGCCATAAAGGAGGACGGAGCGGACTGATGAGCAGTACACCATCCCTTTGGTCGATAGTCGAACATCTCGTCTACGCCAGAGTCGGCGTAAACTGGCAAATGCGAAACGAGCGCTCTGTATCCGTGCTGAGATTTCGTCAGAGATCAACCCGTTGGCACTGGCTGATGGTACTTCCCAAATAAGTGAAGTGGTCAACGTGCTTTACCACTCCACTTCCTATTTTTAAACTAGGCGTCGATTTAGTCCAGTCCTGTAACATCATCTTACATTTGGCGGGAGCGAATCGCTCGCAGGCCAAACATTCGTAGATTGCGGATCAAGGTGTTTAGAAGACTGCATTTGGTCAGCGTCTTCGCCTAGAAGGACTATATCGTCTGCATATTCCAAGTCAGCGAGGTTATTCCCTGGTAGCAAGTCAATCCTTGAGTCTCTGAAGTCACCTAGGGTTAAGTCCATTAACACATCTATGATGAAGTTGAATAGAAA